TATTTGTAGTCCATGTATTGCAATTTATACTTTAGTGGATGGGAACTCGTTATTTCATTATTTTCAAGGTACTAGTTGTGCATCATCTAAAGAGGTTATAACCTCGTGTTGTAGGTATGTTATTGAAGATGATTAACATTAGATAGTAGTCTTGTTAAATTTTATAATATTTTGGTGGGTGAATTAGTGATCGTTTTATAATTAAATACTCTAACTGATTTATTAATGAGTAAATATTATTACAATCATTTATGTCTTACCCCTCCTAACTAAGGGCCCGTTTGGGGCAGCTTATTGGGGTGCGGTGGCGGAATGAAAACGCCGTAGAGGTGTTTGAAAAATACGTTCGGGGCAGATTATTCCTACCGCGCATACGCACTTACGAGATTTCCTTAATAGAAGGCGAAGCGGGGAAGGAGTCGCGTCCTGCGTCTGCTTCCCGCGTTAGCGTGAGAAATTCCTCTAGTGCCCCTTCGCCCTCGCTCTCGCCCTTGCTGATTCCTTCGTCTCCTGTGTGACCCTCTCACCAAGTGAAGAGGAAGAATGACGACTATCGCGAATCACGTCGATCACGAAGGCGGATCGGAGAGAGACGGTAGTTTCGGTAGTCACTGTAAACCGCGATCCTGTCGTTGCCTTCCCAGCTAGCTCTAATGGCAACTATCGCGACGGTTAGTTCACGAAGGCGATTGTTTTGGGTGAAATCGAGAGGGTGAGTGACAGGAAGCGAGGGTTTGAGAATAAAAAAAAAATCTATTCTCTTAATAGATAAAGTTGCATATGTATATCATAATTTTAAGAATCTATAATTAATTATATCAATATTTTAATTATAATTAATTCATCAATCTATAATTAATTTGTATATCATCAATTTAATTATATTAGATAAATTTGTATGTAATTACTTAATATTCGATTAATTAATAAAAATATATCAAAATTTTAAGTTATTTAATAAATTTTAAAGAAATTCTTCATTTATGTAATTAATAATTGATTAATCAAAATTTATTGATTAATCAAAATTTAGTTTATAAAAAAATTAAATGATTACATACAGTTCTGTTACAAACAGTTTCACCTTAAATGATTACAGATTACATACAGTTCTGTTACAAACAGTTTCACCAAACAAACTATCAATAAGTTATTCTAAATAAGTTCTCCCAAACAGCAAACCAGCTTATTCTGATAATCTGCAGATTATCAGAATAACTTGTTTATCAACAAATTATAAATAACCAACAGTTGCGCCGACCTTTAAAATTATGAGAAAGACCCTAAGTGGTTGAGTGTGAAAGTTCGAACGGATAATGACATAAAAGATGTGGCTATGCTTTTGTTTTTGTTTTAATTTCTTTGATAATTTTTGCAAGGGTTTTCTTTTCCAAAGTATAAAATGCAAGTTTCCTCATGAATGAAGTAGTTCTTTAATGATATCATGAATTGTCTTTTTTATTTATAAATCCTTACACATTGCATTTTTTTTGTCGTGTATGTTGGTGGCAAAATGCCTCATTTATTTGGAATGCCTATTTGAAGTGCGCTTAAGAAGAATGAGTCATCTTTTTTAAAGGTCGGGAGTATAATCACTAATTAATAAGAAATTAATGCATATTTAGAAATATTGACAAAATATATAAACAATAGTTTTTTTTATCTTGATTTTATGTATAATATGAAAGGGAATTTTTAATTTTTAATTTTTTTTAATTTTAAATAATGATAATAGTTTTAAATCAAGATATTTTGTTAATCACTCCTATATTACACATATGATCAGACAATGAATTGATTATAGATCTATATTTATATTTTGAATAATTTTTTTGTTATACTTTCTTTCCTGTGATTGTATTGTCTTCCCATTGTTCTTGCTTTTCTCGTTGCTTCTTGATCCTCGCATCCTTTCATGACAATATTGGTCGTAAAATTCTTAAAGGTAGTACATCCCTTTGGCGAACTCCATTTCTATTAGCTTCCCTACAAGCAATGTGATGATGAACTCATTAGGGAAGTTGAAGTAGAAATATGGAGCTATTGAGAGTCATGCACCAACTCATTCTTAAGCACGAGAGACAAAATTATGTTTATGATGGAAAACATGTTGACATCTAATTTCATAATTTGACTTTGGGTTGGAGATCCATCTCAAGGATGATATCATCCCTAGTAACCACATTATATATTATTATGCATGTGTCTTACTAAATCCTCCTATAATACATTGGGGATCAATGCACTTCTTAGATAGGTATAAAATGACCAAATTGTGAGCTAGTTTTTTATTTATTTGGAGTCAAATGCCTTCTGATCATATGTCATTTCATGTTGCAAACTACCTTGAATTTTGGCATAGCAATATTACCTTCATCCAACAAAAGCTAGAGGAACAAATACTTTGATGTCTTGAATGAGAAAGAATGGAAGTTCCCCACTCGTTTTAAGGCTTTTCATTCTATAAATCTTTACGCAAGTCCTTTGCTATTAGAGAAAATAATATTGAATTAGGTAATTATGCCAAAAGGAACATGTCTTTGCAAGTAGCTAGTGAACCTAAGCTCTGCATTTAATGTTAGAAGTTTTGGCCTTGGAAATTATGACCTAAAAGATATTTTGCATAAAAAATTTTGAACAGGCTCTTGAGCCAAGGCGTTATTGGTGAACTCTCCAATATTTTTGTAGTTGCCCTAGCCTCACTAGTCTAAAACAAGTTGTGATCATTAACCTCCATGGGTGTCCTCCATGTAGATATGAAATGCCCCCTTATGTTTCTCTTGATGGAAGAGAGAACCAAGGTTATAGTAATGTTAGTGGTGATACTAAAGTGATCATAACTTAAGGTTATTTGAGAGTTTGTCTCATGATGGAACAAATGTTCTAATGCATTTGATTATTGTCCTATTACTTGTTGTAGGGGGCATGGCACAGTTCCTCCCCTATGTTATTGAAACTCGGCTATTTTATGATCATTCTGAACTAATCCCCAGCAAGTTTTGAATTTTGAGAAAAGTTCCTCAAATTGTAGCAAGGTTCTAAGGGCAAAGGTACGCCAAGGTTATAATCTTAAGCACTATTGAAAGAAGAATTGTGGAAGATCCCTTATTATCTTTCAATGTGAACTTCTTACCCATTATCGACCAGGCTGACAACAACAAACAAAAGAAGGTATGCTAGTAAGTTTATCAAGGCATAACTGTTCAAAAATAATTCTTATCAACTTTCCCTTGCTGGAAAAGTGAAGTGGCATCTAATGAAAAGTTATGGAGAATATGAAACCCTATTTCTAGTCGTGGAATGATGATAATGTGGGTAGCCTAAAGATGAAAATAGGGCATTGTGGAGAAATATGTTAAAGTGATTTTCCAAGCTTGGTTGAGAACTTCATAAGAAAGGCTAAATTTCTTTTTAGGGAAGTGAAGAGGACTTACTTTAGGCCTCTACAAATGGATTAAGAGTGTGGAGTATTAGATGAAGCGGAATGCAGCAAAGATGAAGATTAAAACAAAAATTAGAAAATGTAATTGGTTCATTTGTGCCTTTCATATCCATGGACCCATAGAACACCCATTGCTTTCTAAAAAATAAAAGCAAATGAATTTCAAAAAATTGAAAGAGGAGAATATTCCATGATTAATTTTCACATAATTCATTTCATTTTTATGCATAAGAGAAAATACAAAATCATAAAGTACAAATTGGGAAATTAAATTTTCAAACACAAAATGGATGGAACTTTATTTCCCTTATTTGGAGTTGGTTATAAAAGAAGAGTGAGTAGTTAGTGACCTTTTCTTGCAGATGGGGATCATGGCTCCTCAATGGAGTGGAGGGAATGGTCATTAAAGGTTTCCTCTAAAACATGCTTCATACCATCATCCAAGTGAGAACTAAATTTTGAAATTAATGAAGAAATAAGCCCATCTTCCCTCTTGGCCATAAATGATAAAATTTTGAAAAAGTAATTTAACGAAGACATTATTTTCTTATGCTCGAACATTTGTTGAGGTGGACTCTCCTAAAATTGAGCTACTCCCTCAATTTCCCAATAATGATTTCCCTTGATCTGAGAATGATTTATTGGCACCCAAGAAAAACATAGACACTAGTCGAGAAACTATACACTTATGCTAATGATGTCCCATGCATAGAATTAAGATGCATTGTCAAAAAAAGACTAAAATCATACATCCACCAAGCTTCAAGAGTGCTTACATCTCCCAAGATCTTTATTCTCCATCAATTTACTTTGGCCTTAAGTTGAGCCATGTCAGGCCACACTCTCACCATAATATGTTTTTCTGGAGACCATCTCATGAGTCTCCAACTTTCTTCGAATGAAGGGTACTGTCCCTTTATTATGATCTCCAATATTTTTTACTTCACACTCATTGTGGCTAAATGGGTACATCAAGAAGCATTGCCACTATATATAATAAGAATTTGCAAGTGAAATAAGGACATAATAAAATCAAAAATAAGATCCCATGTCGTAAAATATAATTTATTTATATGATATTCCCTAATTAGATCTCTTACTAGGTTTTTAAAATTACTAGTTACATAAATCTTTTTGTTACGTAAAAGGTTTTTATTTGACCAATTATTGGAAAGTTTCACTTTTATGATCAATATCCTTTTAGTGTTGCAACGCTATTTTCAATTAACTAAGATTTCGTTTGAGATGGTAGTGAAGCTTCGTTCCGTTGTAGTGAATGTTGACGTGTGAAAAAATACTTTCATTTCGAGAAGAAGCATCTTCACCACCTTAGATCGCAGTAGGTCTTCTCCATTCGACAGACGTGACATTAAAAGAGCTTCTCTGAACGGTAAAGTCCATTGAAAACGAAAAGGTTCCTCAACTGCCTTGGATTCAATCTTCAAGACTTATTCAGGTCCTCATGTTTAACTGAGTCCAACCGTGCTCCTACTGAACCCAGACAAAAAGCTCAGCTAACTAAATATTAATCATCCAAATGACCAGGAAAACCAAGTCATTTAAAGAGAGATTCTGTTCAGGTTACAAAAATGACAATATAATAAATAAAGGAACTCTGATTTAAAAAAGGAAAAACAATCATAAAGAAAATTTACGTAGTCTGGAGCAAAAGACAAAGTTGATAGCCAAACCGTCTCCAGCATCTAATCAAACTGCATCTCCTGACTGTCACAAAGAGCGCGCATTGAATGACTGGCCACATCCAGCAGCTGCAGGTACTCGTCTGCCCCATCAACTAAACACTGACGTAAGAAAAACGAAGCCAAAATTATGAATTGATGACGACCCTTCACAAAATTATCTCTTACTCAAGTCAAAATTAGGATATACCCAAAATATATACAAATATATTAGTATAAGACTCTAATCTATATTTTCTTATAAATATACAACTCAATTAAGTTTCTTATTCAATTAGCTAACCAAATATGTATCTAGGTTGGGTGGAATGGCCAAATGCAGTGTGATGCAATCAAATTTTGGTTCCCAAAACCTTCAAGTAGATATGGCCCAAGTTAGCTCTTGAAGTATCATCACAACTCAACTCGAATGTACCAATGATTGCTTTCATAATCACAATGTCATTTTTGAAAAAAATATATATATAATGGAATATTCTAACACTAATTACTCACTTTAGTTAGTTGGAGGATGTTATTGATTAGAGCGATATAGCAGTAACTTTAAAGATTGAAATTCCATAAAAAATGATAAATTCATTCTTTATGATTCGCAAAAGATAAAGAAGAATAATAATAATGATAACATACCTTATCTGCCTCAGCTAACCTCTTACATATCCTTGACTTCTGTACATCAGATATGTCATCCGAGCTAACAATCAGTTCAAAGAACTGGCAGATAAAACTCAAGTCAATAACAAGTCTAAAACCAACTCGATTTGTAAAACGCATGCGCGTGGATTACCTGAGATAGCATTTGTGATACTGGATATCCCTCTGAAATCACATTACTAACTTCCTTGTTAGCTGCATCAAACTCCCCAGTCTTACAAGCTGCAAACAGGGTCTGAACAACATCCTGAGGTATCACCTAATAGATCGAGACACAAAATTGCACGCACATATGAGATGGTGTGCTAGCATCTATGCTTGCCATGAGCAATATTACTTTATTCCATTTGTGTAGATCAAACTGACACATGAACCAAAGGTAATATATTGATTCCATATTTCATAGAAAATGTGTGTGGCGTACAGGTACAGCAGGAAAAATTATAAGGAACTTAATAGAGTAGATGCCGAAATGAAAATACCCCAGAAACGCTTATTAACTCCTTGGATGAAATTGAAGACCCATACAAGCGAGCGGTACTCTGAAAGGACAAATGAAATTTAGCATCAAAGGATGGTCTAACAATTTCTTCAAAATAATAAAAACTGCATTTAGTAGTTATACTTGATTGAAGTGTAACAAGATGTCATCATGGAAAAAAAGAAGTGATAATGCATTAAGCTTCATTATATAAGCGCATGAATGCATAGAAAATAGAAGCATACACAATCACATTTCGGTCTATTGGGATGCAAATGTTATAGGCAATACTTCATGCATCTGCTTAACAAAGACAGACCTGCAAGTACGTTATAGCACGGCGAAGATCCCCTCCACAGATGGAGCTCAAAGTTGATAGTGCCTAAGCATATACATAAGCAACATCAAAATTGTTAGCATTGGCGATTGAAAATTAATTTTTGATGAATAACAAGACACATTTAGAACCTCTTGATCCAGACTAAGGCCTTCCTCATTGCAGATATGCAAGATACGACTACTCATGACATCTTCGGAGAGAGGTTTGAATCTGAATTTTGCACATCTTGAGGCCAGTGGTTCAATTATTCTATCAACAGAATGATATGAAGCAAATTTATAGGACGAAGATATTGTAATTTTCGTATTGTTATGACATAGTACAAAATACCTGCTTATGTAGTTACAAATGAAGAAAAACCTTGTGACTTTGGAATAAGTCTCCATAGTACGTCTCAACGCATTCTGCCCAGCTGAGATTCAAGACAAAAGAAGTTTGCAAATGTGCTAACTAAACCACAGAAAAAAATCTACGTACCTGAGCATCTTCAGTCATTGAATCTGCTTCATCTAAGATGATGATTTTGTATGGTGGGCAAGGATAGCCACTTGAATTCACAAAAAAAAAATTGTGGTGAGTGCATGAATGTGGCAACGAAACAATGCATTACTCCGACTTGAACTATAATTGATAAGAGCATGGTTATCGACAAAATTATTCAAACATATTACTTACCCTTGGCGCATACCAGAACCCACAGCAACAGCAGCAAAATCCTTTATTTTTGTCCGTACGACATTGATCCCACGATCATCACTTGCATTTAGTTCTAGTACTCGTGATTTGTACAATTCCGGACTGCAGAAGATAGATCAAAGACATGAAAAAACAAGAGGGAAAGAAAACGAAAAATTTCAGCTGTTTTTAAGCTTCGAGCACATTTTGCTTTTTTCTCTGTGAGATCAATCAGCAAAAATAAAGATCATTATATACACAAATAAGTGAGATAAAGGGTAAGAATTATAATTAATGATGCAAATATGAAAAATCTATACTCATCAAACGTGCAAATTGTGTGCATTGATATTGATTAAGTTGTCTAACTTGTCTTAATTACAATTTTTTATTCTTCCAGTTTATTTAATGTAACATACATGTAATAATGTTGCCTATGAGATTGAGAAGTATTCGCTAATATTTTGATCCATTTGGTCAGTTTCGTTTGCAACTAGACCTAAAAGCAAGTCGATTCAACTCTCATTAGAGTCCATGGTTAGCTTTCTTTATCCTCTATTCAAATAAGCCAATTCTCTATTTCTGCCTAAGCAAATGCATGGTACATTAACTAAGGCCCTGTTTGGCACAGCTTTTTCATCGACGGTGGCGTTTTCAGAACGCCGCCTACCCGTTTGTTTCGAGCGTTCGTTCGGCGGCGTTCTGAACGCTGCGTCCCGCGGTTCGGTTTTTCTTCATTATGCGGATCGCGGGGCGCCTCCTGCGTTCGGCGTTGGCTGTTGGCGTTAGGGCTGCAATTCCTTCTTTTGCCCTTGGTGATCTCCCTCGCGCTCTCCCCTCGCTTCCTCCCTCTCCGAACGAAAGCATCATTAGGGCTCGATTTCTCGTTCTTTTTCCCTCTCCGGTAAGATCTGGATTCGTGAGTTTTATGGATCGATGAATTTTTTTTGGTTCTTCTACATGTACCTGCTTCTATTGCTTCGGATCTCTGAGTTTTGCGAGTGATTGTTTGGTAGTTAACATATTCTTCTAAAACTTCTCTTGATTTGGCATCTGTCTCACAAAGAACTTCCATTACTGGGAAACGTCTTACAAAAAAATTGTTTACATTATCCGTTGCATCTCTATTGAATGCTACAATATGGATTTGGGAAAGGAGTATCTTTATTACATGCTACAATTCGGCCATTCTTTTCTTCATCTCTACCCGATTTCTGTTGGTTCAAATCAGATTATGCATATGACCTTGACATTATGGATTATGCATATCACATTGCAAGCATGACATATGGTAACATCAAATTATTGCTTAGTCGTCTATACATATGATTAGTCAAAAAACTATTGCTTCTGAAATATGAAAATAGTAAGATTACTCATATCACCAGGCAAAATATCATTAGAGAAGCAATTGCCAGAACATTTCTCCATATCGAAGATGTTTCAAATTTTTAAAAACCTGAGACAATTTTTCTGATATGGGGAATGTATGAACAACAAACGAATGCTTCTAGATGCCTTTGAAATTTCAGCAAATATGTAAAGAATCAAGTGGTATGTATGTAGATATTCAAATTTCTGTAACAAGTGTATGACCATATAATATCATCCATATGTTCTCCTCAAAATCTGAGACACAATGCTCATTAGAATTATTCCAAATGGTTTCAGTGAATGGCATTAAATTCAGCAAGTGAATTGATTTCAGCCAATAACTATGTTCTCAGCCAATAACTCTGTTATATGGATCTTGCTTGCCTCTTACTGCTAGCCACTTCATTATTAATTGACACTAGTCACATATCTTGGCATTCAAATGAGATTTACAGTGAAATTTCTCCATATCTAAGATGTTTCAAATTTTTAAAAACCTGAGACATTTTTTCTGATATGGGGAATGTATGAACAACAAACGAATGCTTCTACATGCCTTTGAAGTTTCAGCAAATATGTAAAGAATCAAGTGGTATGTATGTAGATATTCAAATTTCTGTAACAAGTGTATGACCATATAATATCATCCATATGTTCTCCTCAAAATCTGAGACACAATGCTCATTAGAATTATTCCAAATGGTTTCAGTTAATGGCATTAAATTCAGCAAGAGAATTGATTTCAGCCAATAACTATGTTTTCAGCCAATAACTCTGTTATATGGATCTTGCTAGCCTCTTACTGCTAGCCACTTCTTTATTAATTGACACTAGTCACACATCTTGGCATTCAAATGAGATTTACAGTGACATTTCTCCATATCGAAGATGTTTCAAATTTTTAAAAAATCTGAGACATTTTTTCTGATATGGGGAATGTATGAACAACAAACGAATGCTTCTTGATGCCTTTGAAATTTCAGCAAATATGTAAAGAATCAAGTGGTATGTATGTAGATATTCAAATTTCTGTAACAAGTGTATGACCATATAATATCATCCATATGTTCTCCTCAAAATCTGAGACACAATGCTCATTAGAATTATTCCAAATGGTTTCAGTTAATGGCATTAAATTCAGCAAGTGAATTGATTTCAGCCAATAACTATGTTTTCAGCCAATAACTCTGTTATATGGATCTTGCTTGCCTCTTACTGCTAGCCACTTCATTATTAATTGACACTAGTCACATATCTTGGCATTCAAATGAGATTTACAGTGAAATTTCTCCATATCTAAGATGTTTCAAATTTTTAAAAACCTGATACATATTTTCTGAAATGGGGAATGTATGAACAACAAACGAATGCTTCTACATGCCTTTGAAGTTTCAGCAAATATGTAAAGAATCAAGTGGTATGTATGTAGATATTCAAATTTCTGTAACAAGTGTATGACCATATAATATCATCCATATGTTCTCCTCAAAATCTGAGACACAATGCTCATTAGAATTATTCCAAATGGTTTCAGTTAATGGCATTAAATTCAGCAAGTGAATTGATTTCAGCCAATAACTATGTTTTCAGCCAATAACTCTGTTATATGGATCTTGCTTGCCTCTTACTGCTAGCCACTTCATTATTAATTGACACTAGTCACATATCTTGGCATTCAAATGAGATTTACAGTGACATTTCTCCATATCGAAGATGTTTCAAATTTTTAAAAAATCTGAGACATTTTTTCTGATATGGGGAATGTATGAACAACAAACGAATGCTTCTACATGCCTTTGAAGTTTCAGCAAATATGTAAAGAATCAAGTGGTATGTATGTAAATATTCAAATTTCTGTAACAAGTGGTATAGCAGTTTTCATGTTTCTGGAACACCTCATTTCCATCCTACACAATGATCACATGTTTTTATGGTGCCAATTGGCTGTTCTTTCACGTAAAAGCGTTGGCTGATGTTTGTAAAGATTTTTCTTGCTAATTGTGTTGTAATTTGCCTTAAGATTATGCATGACAATAGAGTTGAGTCTGCTAAAAGTCTTTTCAAGATTTTTTTTGCCTGAATCAATAACCATTTGCAGATAGATGATTGATATGTTGGGTGTGAGCAGGTTTTGTAAATAAAAAATGGGCCCAAAAGGTTTAGCTCCTTTACAGGTTTAGCTCCTTGCAACTCGGTTTGACTCCAACTGGCTAAAAAATTTGTTTTTTCTTGATTGAAATAGTTGAATTGTGCTGCATCTCTTATGGTTGAGAAATGGTAATACAGAAGATTTATAACAACATATAGTTCTACTGCTCATGCATAATCTTAAGGATTACATTAGATGTGGGAATCTTTTTAATGCTATTCGTCGTATCCTTTCCAAAAGCAGGTGTACATTGTGGTTGCAACAATGGCACTACATAACTTCATCCGAAGACATTCCTCGCAATCAGATACAGACTTCAGTATGGCTGACAATGATGAACTCAATATTTTAGAGCAACCAACAGGACATGTGGGGGGGCATTCATTACCTGAGGAGGACATAGAATCTAATGATTTTGAAGATCAAGCGGCTGATAGTTTGGCTGATATGATTGCTTTAAGGGA